GAACACACAAGTTCATTTTCCAGTTTGCCCTTCTACAATGTGGGTCTTATTCTAGGATACAGTTTTCTGGGATCTCAAATAAATTTCTAGGAAACACAAAGACCTCTCCACTTGGAGGTGGACCTAAGCTTTCACCTCTGTCTCCCCCAGCAGACCAGCAGCATCTGAAGTCTATCATAAGATCGCCAGCCTCCCAGCACCTGTTCTCTGCTAGGCTTCTGGCATCTCCATGCACACACCGCTATGAGTCAGCTTAAATGAGTGTGGGGTACATTTGACTGATTTGGGGTGGGGCTCACTTTCTCTAGAACTTTCTCCCTCAGTCCTAGCCTCCGGCAGCCCAGAACCTCTGTCCAGTCTCTCCTTGTCAGACTCTCTTTCTCTCAGCACCTGGTTTAGGGAAAATGCCTCAACCAGAGGTGCCAGGTGAGTGTGGGGTCACCTTTGCTTCCCTTCTCTCAAAATTCATAAGTCCCACACCTGTTGCTGTCAAATGCCTGCAAATGGTCATTTTATATTTAGCTTTATAGTTGTTTATGGTGGTAGGGTAAATCCAATAGCTTCACAACATAATACTAGTAGAAAAAACAGTAGGAAAACTTTATGTTATTGTATGCACCATCATGAAAGGTTGTATATCCAATGCAATGGGATTATTAATACCAAAAGAATGAAATCTTGCCATTTGCAATGATGATGGAGCTAAAGTATTATGCTAGCAAAATCAGTTACTCAGAAGACGAATACATGATTTCTACCTTAGTGTGGAATAAGAAACAAAACAAATGAGCAAAGGAAAAGAGAGGCAAGTAAAGAACAGACTCTAACAGCTCAACTATAGAGAACAAACTGATAGTTACCAGAGAGGAGGTGGGGAGGTACATAGGTAAGAAGGGATGGTGGAGAGGGCACTGGGATGAGCAGTTAGTGGTGAAGTGCTGAAGAGAGAACCGACCAAGAGAACTTAGGATAAAAAAAAAAATTTTACAAGTGTTGAATAAAGATCATTCAGCACAACCGAACGGAAGTTTAAACATTAAAAAAAAAAAAAAAGGAACAACAAGTCTGTTTCAGTTTGCCCTTCTACAATGTGGGTCTTATTCCTAGGATACAGCCTTTCTGGGATCTCAAACTCAAATCTCAGGGTGTTCACAAAGACCTCTCCACTTGGAGTGGACCTAAGCTTCAACCTCTGTCTCCCCAGCACTGTGCAGCCTCTGAAGTCTATGCGCAGATCGCCAGCCTCCCAGCACCTGTTCTCTGCTAGGCTTCCTGGCATCTCCGTATGCACACACCGCTATGAGTCAGCTAATAAATGAGTGGGGAATTTTGACTTCGATTTGGGGGTGGGGGGCTCACTTCTCTCTAGAACCTTTCCTCAGTCCTAGCCTCCTGGCAGCCCAGAACTCCAGTCTCTGTCTCTCCTTTGTCAGACTCTCTTTCTCTCAGCACCTCGTTTAGGGAAAATGCCCTCAAGGAGAAAGCCAGGGTGAGTGTGGGGTCACCTTTGCTTTCCCTTCTCTCAAAATTCATAGTCCTACACCTGTTGCTGTCAAATGCCTGCAAATGGTCATTTTTATATATTTCCAGCTTTTATAGTTGTTTATGGTGGTAGGGTAAATCCAATAGCTTCACAACATAATACTAGTAGAAAAACAGTAGGGAAAACTTTATGTTATTGTATGCACCATCGAAAGGTTGTATATCCAATGCAATGGATTATTAGCCACTAAAAAGAATGAAATCTTGCCATTTGCAATGATGTGGATGGAGCTAGAGAGTATTATGCTAAGCAAAATCAGTTACTCAGAGAAAGACGAATACCATATGATTTCACTCATATGTGGAATTTTAAGAAACAAAACAAATGAGCAAAGGGGAAAAAGAGAGAGAGGCAAACCAAGAAACAGACTCCTAACTATAGAGAACAAACTGATGGTTACCAGAGAGGAGGTGGGTGGGGGGAGCAAGTTAGGTAGGTGAAGGGGATTGAGGAGGGCACTTGGGATGAGCACAGGGTGTTGTGTAGAAGTGCGGAATCACTATATTGTACACCTGAAACTAATATACTGTATGTCAACTGCAATTTAAATAAAAACTTTTTTAAAAAAGAAAAAAAGTCTACTCAGTAGGAAAAGAGATTGGAAGGACTATATCAAACTATTAAGTTGCTTGCCGAGTTAGATGGGATCAGGACACTGAGGAGGAGTTTATACTAACATTTGCTTTGTGTGTTTCTTTCTAACCCCTCAGTACCTCCCTGCACTTGGTTACTCAAAACGGGTCCATCTGATGAATCCTATGGTTCCAGGATTAACTGGCAGCAAAATGAGCTCCTCAGAAGAGGTAGGTTTGCCAACTCTGACTTGAGTTTAGAAATCTTCAGCAAGAGAGATGCCTGGGTGGCTCAGTTGGTTGGACATCCGACTTTTGATTTCAGCTCAGGTCATGATCTCACAGTTCTTGGGATTGAGCCCCACGTTGGGCTCTGCACTGGCAGTGTGGAGCCTGCTTGGGATTCTCCCTCTCTCTCTTCTCTCTCTCTCTCTCTCTCTCTCTCTCTCTCTGCCCTGCCCCTGCTCGTGCATGTGCGCTCTCTCCCTCTTAAACTTTAAAAGAAAGAAATCTTAAGCAAGAGATGAAGATATTGAAGACTCAAAAGAAGAGTTACCTGGCTAACTTGAATTCTTGTAGATTTGAATTCCAAGGAATCTGAGGTTCATCCCATTAATTCCAGTGGTTCTCGAGTATTGAAGGACCCAGAAGCAGTCCTGATAGGATCCAATCATAATCTTAATTTTACTGCTGTGATATTGTGTGATAAAGCACACAAGCAAAAGTAATGTTTTCGTTCATCGACTGTGGTAAATCTCAGCCTTACTAATGAGGTTAATGAGGTGAGGGTTACATTTCACCAAATAGCATCTTGATTCTTAGAGTGATATTTGATATAACTAATATGACAAATACAATATTTTTTAACATTTAAAAGTACTGCTTAGGGAAAATGCACTTTTGTTTTGATCACGAAGGGTACAGAATGGAGGGCTCTGTGGAACCCAGAGATGTGGAAGTTTGAGTTCGGGGTTCCCAAACACAGCTGACCTCGAGAACCACCTAGGGAAAGCATTGATTAGACTGTTCTTAGAGATTCTGATAAAGCGGTTCTGGGAAACAACTCAGGAATCGGTATTTTCTTTCAGATTCTACTAGGTGATTCCGATTGAAGTCACGTTTGGGTGCCCATCCAGTTCTTTAAATCTGACTTCTCAATCTTTGATCAGAGATCAGTAAATATATGCATGGAAACTTTTCTTATTATTTTTAAAGGAATATACTCATTCATTTTTCTCTATGTTAAGATGATCCATGTATCAGCTATTTCTTTGACAAAATATCCTATCACTCACCCTATTTGGTGACACTCACCCTATCTTAACGCCGGAAGTCCGTGTTAGTTAGCAGCAGTTCCTGAACACGACTGCATCAGAATCACACAGAGAGCTTTTTCAAGATACAAATATCTGGCCCAACCTCAAGAGATTTTGACTCATCTCCCAGTAATTCACATTTTTTTACAAGCACCCCAGGTGATTCATACACAGGCATACGTGGACCGGAATTTGGTAACCACTGTGAACCCAGAGATCCGTGAGTTTACTCACTTCAAAATAAGAAACAACTCCTATTACCCTAAAAAGGAAAAATGGCTCTAGGTAATATACAGTACCTAGTGTGGGGGCTTGCTGTGAAACAAGTCCCCTCACACATTGTTTGTGGCAATGTCAATTAGTCTTCCCCTTTCAGAAAATCGTTTTGGGCCTAGCAGTTTTGGGTAGCTTAAGGAAATAATCTCAGAGAAGGAGGAAAAAAAAACAACTCTGCAAAGATATTCATTGTAATATACATAAATTGTATAAATTAGAACATAATCTAACAGTTTAGAAATCATTAAAGAAATTATATTGTCACTAGTAATCGGGACTATAATACACCATAAAAATTACAAGTGAGGGTGAGGTAGCCACTCAGAAATACTTATGATAGAGTCTCAAGTGACAAAGCAAAGAGTAGACATTTGTTCTCGAACTACAGATTTGTAACGATTCTGTGTGTAATAGACAAGGCCTGGGAAGAACACAGGAAAACTGAATTAATTATTTTTGTTGGGGGACAATATTGTGAGTGGCTCTTGACTCTGATTAATTCTGCTTTTGTTGAAGCTGTTACTGTTTAAACCTTCGTTTAAAAAAAAAAAATGGAGGGGCGCCTGGGTGGCGCAGTCAGTTAAGCATCCAACTTCAGCCAGGTCACGATCTCGCGGTCCGGGAGTTCGAGCCCCGCGTCGGGCTCTGGGCTGATGGCTCAGAGCCTGGAGCCTGTTTCCGATTCTGTGTCTCCCTCTCTCTCTGCCCCTCCCCCGTTCATGCTCTGTCTCTCTCTGTCCCAAAAATAAATAAACGTTGAAAAAAATAAATAAATAAAAATTAAAAAAAAAATGGAAATACACAGATTCGTTGAGCATATCTCATTTCCCACCATAAGAGGTCCCTTCTCCTCCATGGCTTCTAGGAGTCCAAGATTGATCTCCTTGACCGGAAGGAGGATGTAAAGAAAAAACTAAAGAAGGCCTTCTGTGAGCCAGGGAACGTGGAGAACAACGGAGTTCTGTCTTTCATCAAGCATGTCCTCTTTCCTCTTAAGTCTGGTAAGACACCCTTTTATTGCTTCTCAGAGGCCAGGCCGAGGTAGCAAAAGTAGTGCTGAGGTCGCCCTTGTGATTTGTCAGAATCTTCCTTCGCCAATGGCTTCCCTGATTCTGTGCTCTGACTTCTCATATACCGACGTACATTTGGAGTTGGGATGTCATTTCACTGCCCGTGGGGTTGTTACCAAGGTGAGGTTCTAAGCGGGGTGTCAGGGTGGGCAGGGGTGTAGAGATGAAGGCAGGCATGCTTAATTAGAGGAATACAAAAGAAATGTAAGGCACGATCCTTCCCCTTGAGCTTGGGTGCCAGCTGGTTTGCTAGCTCATCTGATTTAAGAACAATAAAATGCCATATAAAGTTCAAAATATATAATAAAAACTAAAACACCCATAATATGGGTATAGAAATGCTGACTCTGCCATTATCAATGAGTTTGTTGGCATAGATCCATTTTCTTACAGAGTTTGTGATCCTTCGAGATGAGAAATGGGGTGGAAACAAAACCTACACCACTTACTTGGACCTGGAAAAGGACTTTGCTGATGAGGTAATACCAAAGGAGGAGTAATCCCCACTGAATTCCTTCTGACAGACGTCTCCATCTTGGCCCAGCCAGGTTTCTAATAGCGCCGCAAAGCTCTGCTTGATGCTGATGTGTATTGTGTTAGTGTCTTAATGAGGATTCGGGTGGTTCACAGTTTAGATGGGCAGATGGCACAAAGCTCGTATATTGATGTCCTCATCATTCTGCAAAGGATTTAGCCTGGAATGAAGGACCAAACCCAGCAAGATGAAGCATTTCAGGGAGAGATGCAAAGTCCAGGTTCAAAAAAGAAACACCTGTGGAAGGTAGCTAGCTAAATGATCTCAACAGACAGTTTAACAAAAGAATTGCTAGGTGCCCATGTGTTAGGCACCATGGTAGGGGCTGGCATTACAGAGGATTAAATCCTCATGAAGGGGATGCCTGGGTGGCTCAGTCGGTTAAGCATCCCACTTTGGCTCAGGTCGTGATCTCACAGTTCGTAAGCTCGAGCCCTGCGCCGGATGAGCCCAAGCCCCACTTTGGTCTCCACGCTGATAGTGCAGAGTCTGCGTGGGATTCTCTCTCTCTCCCTCTCTCTCTCTACTGCTCACTCACTCGTACCCTCTCTCTCTCAAAAATAAATTTTAAGGGGTGCCTGGGTGGCTCAGTCGGTTGAGCAACTGACTTCGGCTCAGGTCATGATCTCATGGTTTGTGAGTTTGAGCCCCACATCAGGCTCTGTGCTGACAGCTCGGAGCCTGGAGCCTGCTTCAAATTCTGTGTCTCCCTCTCTCTCTGCCCCTCCCCTGCTCATGCTCTGTCTCTCTCTGTCTCAAAGATAAATATAACCATTAAAAATAAATAAATAAATAAATAAATAAATAAATAAATAAATAAATTTTAGAAAATCCTCATGAAGCTCACGGTCCAGTGGGAGAGGCAGACATAGAAACAAATATCACTGCTATGTGACCATACGAGGACGATGTACATGTATGGTCCAGAAATATAATAGGAGGAAGTGATTGTCTGGCTGGTCAAGCTTTACAGAGGGGACAGCCTCCAAACAGAAGGAAGAAATTGCGCAAAGACATGGTGAGGTGAGACAGCATAGTACGGAATTACAAGTGGTTTGATCTAACATGAGTCCAAAAGGTGAGGCAGAGTGTTGTGGGAGAGATAGGCAGGGCCAGGTCATAAAGGGAAGATGTGGCCATGGTGCATGTGGAGAATGAAATGGGGACTTTTGACTGACTCTGACTTTGGGTTGAATCAGCAATGTGATCGGGCTGTCAGAAACGTAATGAAGTCTTAGTGTAAGTCATCTGAAGTGTAGAGTCTGGAACCATAGAGTTGATCATTCAGTTCTCCACTGTTGTGAGTACATTTGGGGTTGTGCATTCAGCCCTGAACTTCAATTTTCTGAAGTTTATTTGACCATCTGGGCTGTGTTGGTGGGGAGAAGGAGGATGCTGTGATAGGGAACAGACCCAAGCCCTTGTCACAAGAGCACAGTTGAAAGAACAGGGGATGTTTAGTTGGGAATCAGGCCTGTGTTCCGTCATCCTCAAATACATGACAGATTCCCGTGGGAGAGGGGTTGGATTTCTTCCTGTGGCACCAGAAAGCTAAACCAGGTCTGCAGGCGGGGACCACGGGGGTAGGTGTGTTTGGGTTCAACATCAGGGAGAGCTGTGCAGTGACCTCCACTGTATGGCGATGGACTGGGCTGCCTCACTTGACCTTGCGTCCCCGTCACTGAGGTGTTCAGGCAGAGCCCGGAAGACCACTGCAGGACACCGTTGTGTAAGGGACAGAACATCAAGTAGAAGAAAAGGCTCGGTGACCTCTGAGCTCTGCGGCCCTCAAAGCCCATCTTTTGGATGTTTTTCACAGCCATTGCTCTAAAACCCTTCTGTCTGCAGTCTGAGGCCGGCCACAAAACCCACACTGTACTCCTCAGTCCTGTGAATGGTCATTTGTGGGAGTAACGAGAAGGATAGAAGAAATGTGTCTGAAAAAAGAGCTTGGAGCAGCACTAGCCAATAGCACTTTCTGTGACCATGGACATGGTCTGTATGCACTGCCTCCTCACACAGCTGCCACTGGCCACGTGTGGCTGGTCAGCCTTAGAACATGCCCAATGCAGCTGAGAAACTGCATTTCGGTTTACACTGAAATATCCACGTGAGGCTAGTGGCTCCCATCTTGGACAGAGCCGGTCTAAAGCTTTCCTGTTGTTAAAATTACACATTCCCGGGGCCCCTGGATGGCTCAGTTGGTTAAACGTCCAATTTCAGGTCATGACCTCGCAGTTTGTGAGATCAAGACCCGTGTCAGGCTCCGGGCTGACAGCTCAGATCCTGGAGCTTGCTTCGGATTCTGTGGCTCCTTGTCTCTCTGTCCCTCTCCCACTGATGCTCTGCCTCTCTCTCAAAAATTTCCCAAGGAAATGAAGGAATATTAGAAACAAAAATGTAGGTATTGTTGTGTTACAGGTGTTCATGCCTAAGAGACATCACCTCGGAATAGCTGACAGGTGCTTTCAGGCCAGATTTGGGATATAAAAGCACGAGTCATGGGACACAAGAAGAATTGAATTGCTCAACTCTTAACTGCATACTTGCACTCCTCACCATTTTCACCCACGTTATGTGATTTAATCCTCATTCTGACTCTCTGAGATATAGGTATTATCTTCAGCTTTTAAGTGAAGAATCCCAGACTTAGAGGAGTTAACTGCCTGGTCCAGGGGTCACACAGCTAGCTGGAACTCTAACCCTGGTCTAACTCCAGAGCCCTTCTTCTTTCTTCTGGCTCACGCGGCTCGGCCCCCCTCGGGCTGTCTCCTTGGGTTGCATATGTGAATGTTTCTCTGCCTCTAAATGCCTCCGGTTTGTGCCATTCTTCTAAGCATGAATGGAGGGACTAGAAGACTTTGACTAATAAAAACATTCAGCCTGTACAAACCCTCAAGTTGGTATGGAATTCAGAGTCAAAAACCCTAACTCTCAGACAGTGAGATAATCTTTCTGAACCTGTTTCCCCTTCTCTGCTTTGTCAGCTTCACAAGATTGTTCTAAGGATCAAGTAAGACTGTAGGGAGCAGTGGTGTCTGGGTGGCTCTGGGAGCTCACTAGCACAGGTCATGATCTCATGAGTTCGAGCCCCACACCAGGCTCTGCACTGGTGGTATGGAGCCTGCTTGGGATCCTCTCTCTCTCTCCCCCCTCCTCTCTCTCTCTGCCCCTTCCCCACTTGCGCACTCTCTCTCTCTCTGAAAATAAATAAATAAACTTAAAAAAAATAGAGACCGCTGGGGAAACACCCTGCACCCTCCACACACATTATCCTTAGTGGACTTGGACGTCCTGTGCCCCATCCCACGCGCCCCATCTCACAGAGCCTTTGGACACTTTTGCAGGTTGTACACCCTGGAGACCTCAAGAATTCTGTTGAAGTCGCCCTGAACAAGTTGCTGGATCCTATCCGGGAAAAGTTTAATACTCCTGCACTGAAGAAACTGGCCAGCGCTGCCTACCCAGACCCCTCAAAGCAGAGTAAGGCGAGCCAGGGAGGGGGAGGGCCAAGGGGTGCTTGGCATCATCAGGACAGAGAGCCTGTCAGTGGGCTTCAGAAGAAGGTCTGCCTTAAATTGAGAGCCCGAGAAGCCAGGGGACCCGAAGTACAGGAACATCGTACCCCATTGACTCCTGGAATGGAGCTGGAGTCATCTGGATTTTGGTTTGGGCGATGCTGTGAAGTGATTACGTCCTGCCGTACCAGTCTACTGTGTGAGACATGGCCTGTGATCTCACACTTCACAAATTCCTCTTCAGTTAAGAGACCAGTTGGGTTAGACCATGAGGGTAACACAACTGCTCAGGCAGAGTCTGCACAGCTCCTTAGGAAAGCTCATCTTCAGCTTCGCCCAGTTCCCTTGCATGGGCTTCTGACTGGCTCTTAGTTGGCCATCCATTGACCCATGATGCTGAGTTATTAACTTGGATGGTTTTGTGTGACTCTCCCAGAAAAGACTCCATCAATTCATGTGGGATGCATAAATAGAAACACCTAGAGGTAGCAAAGCTACTACTGTCCCTTCCCAAAGGTTGCCAGCCCTATTTTATTTTATTTTATTTTTTTTAATTTTCTTTAATGTTTACTTATTTTTGAGACAGAGAGAGACAGAGCATGAACGGGGGAGGGGCAGAGAGAGAGGGAGACATAGAATCCGAAGCAGTCTCCAGGCTCCGAGCTGTCAGCCCAGAGCCCGACGTGGGGCTCGAACTCACTGAACGCGAGATCGTGACCTGAGCTGAAGTCGGACGCTTAACCGACTGAGCCACCCAGGCGCCCCAACCAGCCCTATTTTAGAGAAGATATAAGTAGGGGCGCCTAGTTCATGAGTTCAAGTCCCATGTCGGGCATAGAGATTACTTAAAAAAAATAAATAAGGAAAAACTAAATGGGTAGATTCTGGGGATTCTGCACTATACCCTGCTAGTGTCGTCATTTGGTGGGGTCAGCATTTGGCCTGTCGTGGCAGAGGAAGAGAGTTCTGATCCCTTGGGGTTCTTTTCTTTCCCAGAGCCGATTGCCAAAGGTCCTGCCAAGAATTCAGAACCAGAGGAGGTCATCCCATCCCGGCTGGATATCCGTGTGGGCAAAGTCATTAGTGTGGCCAAGGTACTCATTTTTCACCACATCCCAGAGAGGCCGATAGGGGTCACGTTTGTCTGTTTCCATCTGGAGGAAACCTGGCCTGGGATGGGAAGTAACATCCCTGAGGTCATATCGCAAGTCAGAACACAGGTGTCTAGTTCCAGGTGTCAGGCTCTTTTCCCTTTGCTGCCTCTGGACCTTTTGCAACCAGACACAGCCAGGAACTCAGAGCCGGGATTGGGGAGGAGAGGATATTAGTCAGAGGGAGCTTGCTTCTCAGTTAAATCTGGTCTGATAGACTCTTCTGGTCTCTACTGGCTTGTCTGGACTTGGCTGCAGGCCTTATCTTGGAACAGCCACTTTGTCTCCCTGCCCCATCCCACCCACCCCTGCAAATGGGGAAGGGAGAGGGACTTCCTTTTACCCAGAGACAGAAGGTTATGCAGCCAGCGACCTGGGACCATTGTTGTGGACTTTTCTTTCTTTCCCAGCATTGTTTTTCACTACAGAGACTACTGAAAGTACTTTGAGATGGCTGCCTCCTTCAGATGGTGAGGCCAGCATTGTCCTCCGCTCATCTTCCAGGCCACGCAGGACTCAGCCGGTGTAGCATGTGGCCATAGCGGTAGCCGCCCAGACAGTCCAGGCCATTTACTTGTGCAGGAGACTCCCTGCACCTCATCTTAGTCAAACCCTGCCTCTTGGGGGAGAGTAAAATGGAGCTTCAAGGCCCATCCTCCTGTCTGCTCTCTGGGACCTGGAAAGAGTTTGCTGCAGAGGGTCCCTTAGGAGCCTCTGTTGGAGAGTAGATGCCCCTTTCAGCAGTCAGAGGGTTCACCGGACCCCCATGGTCCCTTCCGTCACGATACCGTCCGGGACTAACCTCTCTTGCCGGCAGCACCCAGACGCAGACAGCCTGTATGTGGAGAAGGTCGATGTGGGGGAAGCTGAACCACGGACTGTGGTGAGCGGCCTGGTGCAGTTTGTGCCCGAGGAGGACCTGCGGGATAGGCTGGTGGTGGTGCTGTGCAATCTGAAACCCCAGAAGATGAGGGGTGTCGAGTCCCAAGGCATGCTTCTGTGTGCTTCTATGTGAGTGAGAGCTTGGGGTGGGGCGCGGGCCTGAGCGTGGGGGGCAGGAAGTGCAGGGAATTGGCCCACGTGATGCCCTCCAGGCATCAGGCGGAACACTTGGAGAAACTGTCCAAAACATGATGCGTGAAGGAATTACTCACCACGCACGTACTGCGAATGAAGCACTTTACCCAAAGTTAATTTTATTACCACAGGAACTGAAGGTTCAAAGCAGCAGGTACATGCCCAAGTCTCTCTACTAGTGAGAGATGGAGCCAGGATTCAAGACTAATTCTGACTGGCTGTTCAGGCCTTGCTGTCTCTGTTATGTCATACTTCCTCCCCTAAAAGCCTAGATTTCGGTGTCTCTCCTGACAGAGGGTTTCAGTCTAGCCCCGGTTAACCCAACGCACAAATGTGGTACGGCACCGAGGACTTCCTGGGCCTCTGGCGTTGAGGGGGCCCTAAAGCCCCGCAGTGAAGGCCCCGGTGCTCTAGCTTCGCTGGCCGCTGCAGGCAGTCCATAGTCTCACTCTTTCCTTCTCCTGTGTGTCTTCCCAGAGAAGGGGTAAACCGCAAGGTTGAGCCTCTGGACCCTCCTGCCGGCTCTGCTCCCGGGGAGCGAGTGTTCGTGAAGGGCTACGAGAAGGGCCAACCGGATGAAGAGCTCAAGCCCAAGAAGAAGGTCTTCGAGAAGCTGCAGGTAAAAAGCTACAGTGCCCCCTCTCTGGCCTGGGCCGCCTGGACCGTGTCCCCAGACTGCTATTGCTGAGTCCACAACTGCCCTCTCCCCCGCTGGGCCTTCCTGCGTCTGAGCCCCTCTCTTCCTTCAGTCCAGACTGCCCCGGAGGAGGTGTCTGAGCAGCACGGGAGCCCTCGCACGTACCTAGCATGGACGGGCTATTTGAGGCACCGTGGGAGGGACTTCAGACGTTTCCTCACTTGATCTTCAGCCCGTGATCAGAGGCCTGTCCCTGTTGTACATGGCAGGATACCTGCCAGGGCCACACAGGGTCACCAGCAGGGATGAAGCCAGGGTCCCACCACCACCCCCAGCCTTCCTTGATCTTAGAACCACTCATTCTTTGTCTGCTCTCTGGGACATGGACTCCATACAGCCTGTCCCTGTGACCCGAGTGCATTCGTTCCCTCAACAAATACTGAACCCCTGCTGTGTATGCCCACCACTGTTCTGGGCACACGGGCTATATCTGTGAACAAAGTAGCAACAGTTCACTCTCCTCATGGAACCAACATGTGTGATTATGAGCAAATGAGGAATTAATACCTCATTTCCTCACTCAGCCAGAATGTTTCTGGGCGGGGGGGCATTTAGAGTGCTGTCTACTTCCATCCGTCCTCCTGCATATGACGGGTGGTTTTACCCGCTCCCTCCTTTCCTGCTTTTCCAGGCTGGTTGTTTTGTTTTGTTTTAATGTTTTTTAATGTTTATTTATTCTTGAGAGAGAGACAGAGTGTGAGTGGGGGAGGGACAGAGAGAGGGGGAGACACAGAATCCGAAGCAGGCTCCAGGCTCCGAGCTGTCAGCACAGAGCCTGATATGGGGTTTGAACCCACACACTGCAAGATCATGACCTGAGCCAAAGTCGTACTTAACCGACTGAACCACCCAGGCGCCCCTCCAGACTGGTTTTTTTAATCACTTATTTTTTCTAGCTATAAAATCAAAAATTTTTTTAAGCTTATTTATTTATTTTTGAGAGAATGTGGGAGGGGCAGAGGGAGAGAGCGAGAATGCCAAGCAGGCTCCACACTGTCAGCACAGTGCCCGATGCAAGGCTGGAATTCACAAACCCGTGAAATCACTAAGATCTGGATGCTTAACCGACTGAGCCACCCAGGCGCCCCAATAAAAAATTTTCATCGTAGAAATGTCTAAAGTGGAGGGGATATGAAGAAAATGAAATATGCATAGTGTTGCCACCTAGTGATACTAGAAAATAGCATTAGTGGTCATTTCTTTCTGGACTTTTTCTATACATCGAGATGATATATTTACAGTTTGAGTCCCACCATATGTTTATTTAACTTTGTGCTAGAAAAACTTCCCCATCTTTTTAAACACTGAGAGGGGGATCTTATTGTATATACTATTGTATCATAATTACTATAATTTAATGAAATTATCTAACCTTATTAGACATTGAGACTCTCTTTGGGTTTTCACTATTTGAACGCTGAGATGGAGGTCTCAGTACATAGTCCTTTGCACTTACTCGTGACTGTTTTCCTAAACTAAATGCCTAAAATGAGCTTCCCGAGGTGAAGAATGAGAGCTGGGTGCGCAGCTCACAGAGAAGCTCGGCCTGTCCACACTGCTAGAGCATCAGAGAGCCTGCTCTCCTGCAGTCCCACTGTCCCCACATTCACTGCTATTGTTTATTCCATGCAGGCTGACTTTAAAACCTCCGAGGAGTGCATCGCACAGTGGAAAGAAGCCAACTTCATGACCAAGCTGGGGTGCATCTCCTGTAAATCACTGAAAGGGGGCAACATTAGCTAGCCAACCGGGCACCTTCCTCCCTTCTCCCGTCACCCTGAGTCATCTGCTGTCTTAATTTGCTCCGTCCGTCACCCATTTATCCATCTCCCAGGACGCCAAAGCAGGAAGTTTGGGACTTTATCAGGTGTGGGACTCAGTAAGCGGCAGCTCAGCCTCCCCAGAATCCAGAACCATCCTGTCTGGCTGAAGTGAGCCGCTGACCTCCCAGGTAGTCATGCGGGTGAGGCAGCAGCAGGGAGCTCAGCTCTACCTTCTTCCCTCGGCAGCTGACTGGAGAAATCTGGTTTCAATAGAAGTCCTAGAAAAGGCTTATGCCACAGTCGTCCTAATTGGAAAAATATTGGTTCCTGTTTTCCTAGAGTTATCCCAGCGGCTGTCTCTGTCTGGGATCTGGTGCCTGAACTGGGCTAATTACAGCCTTTCCCCAACAGGAAATTGTGGGATTCCAAAAGCAAGGGGAAGAGAAAACAGAGAACCTAGTGGTCTACCGAGGGGTTGGCAGCTTTTTTTCCCAGTGGCCGCCAACCTTGAGGCTTGGCATTGGGGGCAGGGCCAGCCCCCAGGGCTCCTGGAATTTCTCTCCCTTGATTCTGTTGGGTTGAGACATTCCCTAAACCAGCTGTGTGTTATTAATATCGGAAGTAGGGCGGGCACAGCCTGAATCCTCCTTCAGAGAGGGTGGAGTACTTCTCCATAGGCATCTCAATCAGAATCACTATCACTGTCATGAATTCAAATAAACTATCTGAACAAAGGTGTCTGGATGAGGCCTGTCTGGGAGCTGGACCATCCCAGGAGAGAGGAAAAGGTGTGGAGCAGCTTCTGGGCCCCTCACCCAACCTAGGCTGCTCATATCTTGGACTTTTGACCCTGTAATGTTGGGAGATAGTGAATTGGATGGATGACCAACACTTTGACTTTTCCTTCGTGATAAAAGCAGAAGAGGCCCACTTTGGGGTCCAGTGCTTACAGGAGGCAGAAAGAACATCCTCTCATAATAGCGGGCCCAGACCACCACCCTGTCCCTCCATTAAGAAACAGCAAACCACAGCCACGTTTTAATCATTTAATTAACACCTTTGAATGAAACACACACACACAGCTCTTTCATGTGTCTCACTCAGGCTTCAGGGCAGAGGGAATGGATTGTTTGTATAGACATATCAAAGACTCAAAAATTTAAAGAAATATATATATATACTTCTCTCTCTCTAACATTTTTATGGAAATTAAAAATCAGAGGCTTTTGGTCTCTCCATTTGCACTAGGTCAAGCTCATTTACCCCAGAGGACAAAGAAGGGTTGCCTCTTCTAGATCCTCCCTTCTCCTTTGTACTCTGTCCCACCCAGTGGGGAAACAAGCTCAGAAGATTCTAACAGGATAAGGAGCTCAAGTAACGTTGGGGGGGGAGGGAGGGGGCGGGGAAGAGACACAGAAGTTGGGCTCCCTCCCATCTCCATCTCCAACAGCTCCAAGGCTGCTGCCAGGGCCAGGTTTCTTTCGTGGAGGCTTTGGCCTGGTCTTGGTTCCCAGGGGGCTGGTCAGGAGCTCTGAGCAGAGCAGTGCATACTGACTCTCCTCTTTCCCCGGCTCACTGGACAGGTGCGACATGTACCCAGCAGCCGCTCTCCATTACCCAAAGGGCAAGGGAAACCTTGGTTTACAGAACGCTGGTTTACAGCCACAGGGAGAAGACCACAGTGAGGGAGGGCCCCAGGAACCTGGGCTCTCATACCACATCCCCTGTGTTCCCACCTCTGGTTCTGGGAGGGGTTCAGCCTCTCCACAGAAGCAGCTAAAAGTGAGGTTCCTCAAGCCCAAGTCACTGTTGAGGAAAGAGGATCAGGCCAGAAGGGATGGCCCTGGTGGCAGTCACACTACTGTGAAGGGAGGCACCAGGGCCAGTGGGGAAGCCAGCTTACCTAGATAGGAGGCACAGGCTGAAAATAGGTCATTAAAATTCCTAGAGGAGACCTCAGTAGCAGAAGCTGATGGCCAGGGGGCAATCACCCAGCCTGCTCCCTAGGAGCACTGAACCCCCTTCACTGACTAGGGAAGAGTCTGGAATAGAATGCACCTTTGGCTTCCTTCCCATCCTTGTCACTCAGCGTCAGCTCCCCCCAGTGAAACCACCTGTGCTGAAAGGCAGCTGCAGAAAGAACATGCACCGAGTAAAGAGAAAGGTCAGAGAATGTAATCTGTAGGGCCAGGTCTGGGCCCACTGCCCAAATAAGCGCTCCCCTGGCCAGACCCTCCACCCGCCTCCCTCAGGGCTTCCTGCACAGCTGAAAGGGACACAGCTTTGCCACAGCCCATGGGCTCCTGCCTCTGAAGTGTTGCGCCTGCCTGCCCACCCCAACCTGATCAAGTGAAACAAGGGGGCAGATGCTTGGCATTACCAAGTGCCCGCTGAGAGGCCTCCCTGTTCTGTCCTCCCACTCTCTGAGGACAGAGCCTGTGGACCTCCTCTCTTCTTCTCCTTCCCACCCCCTCCCTCATTTGGGCCCAGGCAGTCCCCACTTCTTGTTCCCTGCATGGAGCACCTGGCAGAACTGGAAGGCAGGTGGTTGGTGGTCAGTTGAGGCACAGGAGGGCTAACCCCTGCTGCCCCTTTTGTGCTTTGGAATTCCACAGCCCCGCTCCTACCTCCAGCCTGGAGAAACCTGTGGGAATACAATGACTCGCCCACCTCCAAGAACTAGGAAATGAGCAAACTGGATCGGAGGGAGCAGACTGGTCCCAGCTATGGGCTGGCTACCAGGGACTGATGCTGCCGCCATGTAAACAGGCCCTTAGAATGAGGCTTCATGGGCCCTGGAGGATGGACATGCAGCCACTTGTCAAAAGTGCTTTGATTCTGGACTACAGTATGTGCATGATTTGGACATGGGGGGGGGGGGG